CAGCCACCTACACTTCACCGGACCGCAGGAGCCAAATGGACTCGGCCCATGAAGAACAGGGAGGTGAAGAGTCATACAGCTGGGGGTCCACAACATATGCGACCTTAGCTGCATCTGCCGGACGATCATCGCCCGTGCCTCATCCCAACCCATCGGGACTGCCACAAGATGATGGACAGAGGCCATCAACCAGTTATGCCCAGCTGGCAGCAGCACCTGCAGTACCAGGAACGAAGGCGGTGGAGGAGCCAACATCAGCTAGAGAAGCAGAGAAGGCAAGATACCCGCCTATCGTCGTGGAATGCCTCCCGAATTGGACGGGGCATTTCAAAACACTTACAGAAAAATTAGGCCACGCCCCCAATGCCCGCCCATTCGGGAAGGGGGTAAGATTCACGCCCCAGAGCCCGGAGGAGTTTCGTATCACACAAAGATATATGAAAGAACTCTCCGGAGCAACACCAGATTTGTCCTGGTACTGCTTCACCCCAGAGGAGGAGAAGCCCACAAAAGTGGGCATCAGGGGGCTGCCAGTAGGAACAGACACGAAAACCATAGAGGAGGCTGTTAGGGCAAAGGGCTTTCCGATCCAATTTGTTAAGGCCATTCCGCCGCGTAGAGGCAGGCCGGGATGCATCTACTTCGCACAATTGGATCACCTGAGCCTGGAGCAGCTGAACCTACTATATAACACCAACGAACTCCTCTATATGAGAGGAGTAATTATTGAAGCCTGGCAGAAAAAGAAAGGACCGGCACAATGCCACCGTTGCCAGGCTTTCGGACATGCTTCTGCCAACTGCTTCAGGCCAGTGAAGTGTGTTCGTTGTGGAGGAGAGCACATCGCCGCCCTTTGCCCTCGGGGTAGAGAGGAAGAGCCGACGTGCGCAAATTGCGCGCAAAACCACACCGCAAACGACAGACGTTGTCCAGTCCTTAGGAGGGTTGCCAGGAGGCAGGGGATCACCCTGCCGGGACTACTACCCGAGGACCCCAAGAAAACTACACAGAGTCGCCCAAGAGCTGTTACCATACAGGAAGATGGGTGGACCACAGTAACAGGAAAGGGGAGGCAACCAGCCCCCCCCCCTCAAGTAATACCAATGGAAACTGTGGAACCTACAGAAGTGAAGGCAACCACAGGGGCGACTCTACAACCACCCGCTAATGACGCAATAGAGCGTCAATCCTCTAAGAAAAGGAAGCGGGTGAGGAAACGTAAAAATAAGGAGCAGCCAATACCTCCTAAGGCTGTGACCTCTACCCCGACACCGCAAGTAACAACAGCCGCAAAGGCGCAGGTTACTAGGAGAGAAGCAAGCGAGGGTAGAGCGCCGGAAAGGGCTCCATTGGAACATAGAGCCCGCTCTACATATAGAGCGCGCTCTACCCAACGTAAAGAAGAGCCGATTGTGAAATCCAATGTCCCGAGGCCAGTACCAAAAACAAGAACATCAATTCCAGCACCATCAACCGACTTCGAGACAGCTGATGCCATCCAAAGATTGGTAGGCTTAGCTATCGAAGTCGGCACCCAAGTCCTGGCCGACATAAGGGCCGGGACTGATCCCATCACCGCCGTAATGAAGGCACTCGCAACTATACTGGCCCGGCATTACGGAGGAGAGTAACGTTAACCTGCGCCTCCTCTATTGGAACCCGGACGGGATACAGCAGAGGATCCATGAACTCCGTACAGTCGCTCAACAACAGGACATTCAAGTGATCTTGCTGGGGGAGACCAAGCTCAGACCAACAACGATGCTGAAGCTACCAAATTATCACATCTATAGGAGGGACGAGGTCAACCCTCACGGGACCGCCTACAGAGGCACGGCGGTACTAGTGAGGAGAGACATCGTCCACCAAGAACTAGAGCTACCAGACAACAGAACGATGCGCTCCATCGGCATAAAAATGGAGGCGGCGGGCGAGGAACTAAGGATCTACGCAGCATACCGCCCGCCAGGGACTCCATTTCACTCCTCAGACGTCCGGACGGTAATGGAAGGCACAACGCCCACCATCATCGCCGGGGACCTAAACGCCAAACACCCGGCGTGGGGGTCAAGATTGATCAACCCGCCGGGTCGTGCACTTTATGAAGATGCGGAGGAGAACAACTATGACGTTTTAGGTCCCGAGGAACCGTCACACGTCCCTACAGACGCACGCAAAAGTCCGGACGTACTGGACATCGTGCTCTCTAGGAACGTCAACTACCCGATAGTGGTAGAGGTGCTGTACGACATGGACACACAGCACCTCCCGATACTAATTACCCTTGGCCTCAGGGCAGTGACGACGCCGCCCAGAGCATTCAAGACAAGAATAGACTGGGGGCTCTACCATCAACACCTGCAGGAGAGACCTCCAGTCTTTACACCCATCAGTACAGCGGACGACGTAGAGGCCGCTGCAACAAGAATAACCAACACCATCAAAGAAGTTCTCGACGCGGCCTCTACGGTCGTCCCACTAACAACTAAAAGAGACGTCCTGCCGAAACCGATACGAGAGAAGATAAAGCGCAAGAGGGCGCTAAGGAAGCTCTGGGCGAGCACTCGCTGCCCAAGATTGAAGACACAATTAAATCGGATTTCTGATGAACTGTCGGTTGCAATCCAGGCCCACAGAGGAGAGGCCTGGGAGCGGCGCATTGTGAAGGCAGATGAGCAAGATGCGTCGCTCTACAAATTGAACCGACAGTTGACCAAAAAACGTCCTGCCGTATGCCCGCTGACCAACAACGCGGGCGAACGTCGATATGACGCCAAGGGTAGAGCGGATATCCTAGTAGAGCACTTCGAGGAGCAATTTATGCCGAACCCAGCAAGTGCGGAGTTCATGGATCTTCATGCCCGGAAGGAGAGCCGCGTACAGGAGCTCCTGTCATCGCCCGCGCCACCGCTTGCAGGAGAGTGGTACATCTCCCCCGCTGAACTGCGGAGGACAGTAGCCCGCCTGCAACCCAGGAAGGCGCCGGGGCACGACGGGATCACCAACGCTGCGCTTCGACAGCTGCCCAATAGGACACTTGTAGAGATCTGTCGACTCTACAATGGAATATTGCGGACATCCCACTTCCCGGAGGAATGGAAGATAGGGAAGGTAATTGTGTTACCGAAGCCCGGGAAGGACAGGCGTAGAGCTGCCAGTTACAGGCCGATTACGCTACTACCGCACATAGCTAAATTGCTAGAAAGATTACTGCTAAGACGTCTCCGCCCGTGCATCCAACTTCGGGCGGAGCAGCATGGATTCAGGAGGGACCACTCATCAGCAACACAGCTGACCAGGGTGCTGCACTATTTAGCGGTCGAGTATAATTTCGGCCGCACATCGTTAGGCGTCCTTCTCGATATAGAGAAGGCGTTCGACAGAGTGTGGCACCCTGGCTTACTCTACAAGTTAGAAGAACAAACCAGTATCCCTCCTGCTATGTTGCGGCTAGTAGCGTCATTCCTGGCTGACAGGAGGTTCTACGTCTGCGTAGAAGGCGCGATGTCCGCAACGAAGACCATCAGAGCCGGCGTACCACAGGGCAGCTGTCTGTCACCAGTCCTGTACGCGGCTTATACCAACGACATCCCAACACTGGAAGGACACCTGCGAGAGTGGGAGGACGACGTCGAACTGGCGCTATACGCGGACGATAGCGCCTACTTCACCTCGTCCAGAAGAGCCCACATCGCAGTCGCCAGGATGCAAAGGCTGTTGGACTTGCTGCCAGCATGGCTGGATGAGTGGAGGATGGCCGTCAATGTTGGTAAGACGGCCGCTCTGCTCACTCGCCGCTACAGGAACTTCCCACCACCACTAACGCTCAGAGGGCAGGAAATTGCATACCAGAAGACCGTGACGTACCTTGGATGCCGGATCGACAGAATGCTGCGCATGACCGCGCATGTTGATCTCGTAGTCCGCAACGCGAGAAGTGCGCGGGCGGCGCTGCGTCCCGTACTGGCATCCAAGTTACCACTGAAGACAAAGCTGAAACTATATAAATTATATATAAGACCTGTACTAACCTACGCTGCTCCGGCCTGGTATGCACTCCTGAGCGACCGGCAGAAGCGGCGACTGCAAGTCCAACAGAATTTGGCATTAAGGACCATTGTCGGTGCTGGTCGCTACGTCCGGAACGACGTGATAGCGGCCGACCTGAAAATTGAAGACCTGGAAGAATTTGTGGTTCGGTTGGCGCGCGGTATGTTTAACCGCGCTGACAACGGACCACACCCCCACCTTAACAACTTCGCGCCGCTGCACGCCCGCCCTCCGGACGGGCGACCATTACCAAGAGAACTCCTCCCTATATAGATTAGGGAGTCGAGTAAATTCCACAATGCCACTGAAAGGCCAACATAGACACTAGAATACCACACACATTGAATACCAACTTACAGCGACCGGATTCGAACCAGTGTCGCTGTAGTAAGAGATAAATGCCAAGAAGGCACCCATGACCGGCCCATAGTTATGGGCTGAGATGAATACCCAGGCAATGGGGAGATGCCCGAGGCCTGAGCCTGCAGCGCTAAGGCGCGCGCAGAAGAATACACGTAGGGTGTCGCCACCTCAGTTCGTCGCGGGCCGTGCTACAGTGCGGACGTGTCTAGTGCGCTCCTGTGTTGTGTACGTGTTGTGCTAGTGATTGACTCCGCCGACGTCGAGTTCGCTCCGTTTGGCGTCGAGGCGTCGCTGGCGCATTTCCTGCGTCGGACTGTTAATAAGGTAAGCGTAAAGGTCACTACTTACGCTGTGCCCTACTTTACGTTTTACCTTTTTGTACACTGTACCCTCTTTTTATAACAAAAAGTGATTGCAAGTGTTCCGCATTTGAGTGAGATTACGCCCATCCCATCTGCGCCTCACACACCCCTCCCTGCTCGCGGGCGCCTCGCTGGGCCTCCCTCACGGGTCTCACCCGGTGTGGTTGCACGCGCTGAGGGGAGTAAGGTGTGTGATAGCTAAGGGCTGAGCATAATTAATTAGTAATGTCGGACAAGGGGGAACCTCCCCCAACACGCCGTAAACCACCAGATAGGCGTCCGGGAGTACTCGACAGGCCCCTCATGGAGCGAGACCTCTTCGCTCCTGAGAGATCTAGAGTGCTCCCACCTTACAGCCAACTCCCGAGGCGAATAGGCAGTATACCGGCGCCCGGCGCCGCGCTCGGCGCAGGTGAAGCTGTGTCTTCACCGAGCGCAGAACTGGCTCCATTACCACGCCGGAGCCTAGCCTCGCGGAGACGTACACCTCCTGAGATAGAACAAGACCAGCTGCAAGAGGAGAAAAGGCTGAGAGCCGGATCAGACTCACTATCTGATTCGGCATCGCCTTCTGCCTCTGCCACACCACCTGAGATACAAGCCCCACAACCTGTGGTAAGACATAACAGACCGCCTAACTCACCGACTCCAACCACCTCTCCGGCCTGCACCGCTGACATGCAGGATTTCGGTGAGGAAGACCCGGAAGGAGAGAGAGAGTGGGACAATACGTCCTACGCCACTCTAGCCCCAATTCAAGACTCCCAACCTGCAAACCAGGAGCCTATACCTGGTCCATCTTCAGCGCCGGACTCTTATGCGCAAATTGCAGCAGCGCCAAGGTCAGCGCCACCATCACCTCCACCACCACCTGCACAGAAAGAACAACAGCCAGTAAATAACCAGGCCAAATACCCTCCTATTATAGTGGAGTGCTTCCCCAACTGGGCGAAGCACTTCAAAATCATACATCAACTTTTGGGTCACGCCCCCAATGCTCGCCCGTTTGGGAAGGGAGTCCGTTTTCGGCCCCAGTCCGACGACGAGTATCGGAAGGTCCAGCGCTACCTCATCGATAAAAGCAAGGAGGATGCCACCTTCGTGTGGTATTGCTACGCCCCACAGGAGGAGCAACCCACGAAGGTGGGGTTAAGAGGGCTCCCTGCCGATACAGACCCTAAAGACATACAGGAGGCCCTCATAGAGAAGGGCTTTCCAGTTACATTTGTACGGTCAATTCCACCAAAAAGAGGCAGGCCTGGCTGCCTGTTTCACGTGAAAATGAGTCACCTAAGCCCCGAAGAGCTCAACAGATTATACCAAATTGATGAGCTCCTTTACATGCCGGGAGTAACAATTGAAGGCTGGACAGGCAGAATTGGCCCTGCGCAGTGTCACAGGTGTCAAGGGTTCGGACACGCATCCTACAACTGCTACCGACCCTTCAAATGTGTACGCTGTGCAGGTGACCACCTGGCCTCAGCATGCCCACAACCGCGGGATGCGCAACCTAAATGCGCAAACTGCGGGAAAGATCACTCGGCGAATGACAGGCGGTGCCCAGTGTTGCAGCGAATTGCAAGGAAGAGGGGGATTAATATGCAACCCCCTATCCCCGCGCAAACAACACGAGCACCGCAACGTCAACCACCCCCACTACAAAGCCAACCACCTGCACCGCATTGGCAACCTCCACCACCTCAAAAACCTCAGTACTACCCACCCCAACAGCAGCAATATTCACAGCAGCAACACCTGCAAAGGCAGGAACCGCAACCGCAACAGCGGCAGGTAACAATCACACCTGCACCAACCACATTTGTTACGACCGGGGCGACTTTAGCACCACCGGCGAATAACGCCACGGAGCGCACAGAGCGCCCAAAGAAAAAGAGAGGAAAGAAGAAGAAGAAGAAGAAGGCAACCACCCAACCAGCTCAAGTGGGTGGTACTTCGACTCCTCTTCCTCCACTCGTCACTACCACACAGCAACAGCAACCACTGCCACAACTGCGATATACCTTCCCTCCATCAAATCAGAACGAGCAATCTGCACCCCAACCCCGAGATCAACGCCCACCCAAAAGGACAATAACTGTCACACCCCTATCACAGCCCCAGGCACCAACCACCTTCGAGGAGGCCCTCGCTCAACTGGTGGGCGTGGTAATCAGGATCTTAGGAGAGGTCCTGAGTGCCATGACCACCGGCACCAACCCCCTTTCGGCCATCCTAACGGCCTTAGCCCAGTTAACCTCCGTCAGCAGGCCATCCACTTAGGATGTGTTATTGGAACCCCGGCGGCATCTTAGGGAAGGTCGCCGACCTGAGAACCCTGGTCCAGCAGCATAATATCCAAATTGTGCTGCTGGGGGAGACCAAACTGCGCCCCTCTGCTCAATTAAAACTCCCCAACTTCTTCGTGTACCGACATGACGAGATCTCCTCAGAAGGTATCGCGTACAGAGGTACTGCGGTCCTTGTGAGGAGGGACGTCATGCACGAAGAAGTTGGCACCAATACACAATTTATATCCACCAGAACCAAGGGTGTAAGGCTGAAGGTAGGCAACAGAGAAATTAGAATCTTTGCTGCCTACAGACCTCCCGGCACCTCATTTGCCCCCCAAGACATACGTACCATATTTGACTCCACGACACCCGCAATTATCGCCGGAGACCTCAACGCGAAACATCCCGCTTGGGGCTCCGCGCTGATCACACCACCCGGCAGGAAACTGTTCGACGACGCCGAGGAGTGGGGGTACGAGGTGCTGGGCCCTGATGAGCCCACCCATATCCCGACAAAGCCAGAACATAAGCCCGATGTTCTTGACATTGTGCTGTGTCATCTAGTGCCGTATACAACATGGTTAGAAGTGTTGTATGACATAGATACACAACACCTCCCCGTGCTGATTACTATCGACACCAGTGTGGATGCCATGGTGCCCAGAAGTCTCCGAATGAAGACAAATTGGACCCGCTTTTGTAGTGCGCTGGAGGACTTCCAACCTTGCGCCCCAATTACCACCAGTGAAGATGTAGAGACTGCGGCCCTACATCTTCACAACACTATAAAAGAGCAACTCCAACTACACTCTCACCCTGTCTCCACGGGGCGCGGGAAGGAGGGACTCCCGCGCAATCTGCAAACGCTTCTATCCGAGAAGCGGAAGATGAGGAGGCTCTGGGCACGGACACGATGCCCACGGATCAAAACCAAACTAAACACTATGACGGAAGAGCTCTCGGAAGCAATGAGAGCTTACAGGGGAGAAGCATGGGAGAGGCGAGTCGACGAAGCCTCGGAGACACCCGCCTCCCTGCATCTCCTCAACCGGCAGCTCTCCAAGACACCACCACCTGTCTGCCCACTGGTGGACAGCACGGGGAGTAGGATTTACGACGCCCAACCTAGAGCGGACTTGATGGCACAGCACCTAGAACAACAGTTCATACCCAACAGCATAGCAGAGGGGTACGCAGACCACGTACAAGGCATAGAGGACCGCGTACGGGAATACCTCTCTAACCCGGCGCCGCCATTGCGAGGCGGCGATTTCATATCTCCAGCAGAGGTAAGGCGCACTATTATGCGCCTACCTAGCCGTAAAGCGCCGGGTTACGACGGCATCACCACCACAGCCATAAAGCAGCTGCCCAGAAGGGTAATAGTGGCACTCACCAGTCTGTACAATGGCATCTTACGGACTGGCCACTTCCCGACCATCTGGAAGCAGGGCAGAATCATCGTGCTGCCGAAGCCGGGAAAAGACAGGAGGTTCCCGGCCAGCTACCGCCCCATAACGCTATTGCCGCACATAGCAAAACTTTTTGAAAAAATCACCCTGCACAGGGTTCTCCCACATGTTACCCTGCGTGAGGAGCAATTTGGCTTCCGCAGGGGACATTCCACAACCTCTCAGCTGGCCCGCGTGCTGCACTATCTTGCGGCCGAATATAACTTCGGCCGCATCTGTGTGGGGGTCCTTCTCGACATGGAGAAGGCCTTCGACAGGGTGTGGCACGCAGGGCTAGTTTATAAACTCATTCAGCACACCACTTTACCGCCCATGCTTGTGCGGTTAATAGCGTCATTCCTGGAGGGGCGGAGCTTCCATGTCTCCTTGGAAGGGGCTGTTTCGGCGGCACGACCGATTTCTGCGGGAGTGCCATAGGGCAGCTGCCTATCACCGCACCTGTACGCGGTCTACACCAACGACATCCCCACCCTACAAGGCCATCTGGAGGAATGGGAGGATGACGTTGTCCTAGCCTTGTACGCCGACGACAGTGCGTACTTCGCGTCATCACGTCGGGTGGACATAGCTGCTAAGAAATTGCAGCGGGTACTCGACCTCTTGCCTGAGTGGCTGGACAAATGGAGGCTGGCGGTCAATGTCGGGAAGACCGTCGCCTTCATGACCAGGCTGGCCAGAACACCACCAACTCTGCAACTCCGCGGGCAGGATGTGGGTTGGAGTAGTACCATTACGTACCTAGGATGCCAGATAGATCGCTCGCTGCGCATGACCCCGATGGTCAATCACGTTGTGAGACAGGCCAGAGCGGCGCGAGCGAAACTATACCCTATACTGGCATCCAAACTCCCAACAAGAACGAAAATAGGTATCTACAAAACCTACATCCGCTCGCGGCTGACCTACGCAGCCCCAGCCTGGTACGCGTTGACCTCGGCCACTCAGCGCAAGAAGTTGCAGGCCCAGCAAAATCTTGCGCTCCGGGTGATCGTGGGAGCCGGTCGCTACGTCAGGAATGACATCATTTCTCGCGACCTCAAGGTCGAAACCATCCATGATTTTGTGGTCCGTTCTGCGAGACGGTTGTTCGACCGCGCAGACAACGGGCCACACCTTCACCTTCAAAATCTTGCTCCCCTCCACGCCCGCCCACCTGACGGGCGACCACTCCCACGTGAACTTCTACGCTCACTGCCCGGCACAGGGGACGCCGGGGGTGAGTGAGCTTCCCGACACTCGACGTGATGGCGCGAGGTGCGCAATACACCTACATATAAGCTGCCAACGCAGCACCCAAGACCGGGGGGTCGTGTCCTCCTGAGATGCCGCCCATGTAAAGAGGGTCTCCTCGACACATGAAAACCTCCATAAGGAGATGAACCACCACTGTCGCCACCTGTGTATTATCCTACGTAATATCAATTTGTGTACGATATATAACAACAATTTACAATTTTCCTTTGTTATTATCATCTATCGCGAGTTGTGTGAGTCAGTGTTTGTAGTTCGTTTGTGATCTAATACTACTACTACTACGAAGTAATGGCAGATACAGCAGTAGCTTCCGAAACTCCCGCTCCGGCGACTCCGGCGAAAAAACCGAAGGCCGCCGCTACTGCAGCAGGTGGTGCAAAGAAGCCCAAGGCGAAACCCACTCATCCGAAGACTTCCGAAATGGTCACCAGCGCAATTAAAGAGCTGAAAGAGCGCAGTGGATCATCTTTGCAAGCGATAAAAAAATATATTGCCGCTCAATATAAAGTCGACGCTGAAAAACTAGCTCCGTTCATCAGAAAGTACCTGAAGAGCGCAGTCGAATCGGGTGCGCTTATACAGACAAAGGGCAAGGGGGCTTCCGGTTCCTTTAAGCTTGAATCAAAATCGTCCGCCTCTAAGAAACCGTCGACGGGTAAGAGCAGCGGTGGCGCAAAAAGCGGCGCGTCCGCCGCTAGCTCGGTGTCGGCGAAGGTGAAGAAGAGCACCGCCGCGGGTAAGGGTAAAAAGGCAGCATCGGCAGCGACCGCATCATCACCGTCTAAGGCAAAACCGTCTGCAGCTACCAAGGACAAGAAGGCGGCCGCCGCGAAAAAGAAGCCGGCAGCCGCAAGAAAATCCGCAACCGCTGGCCAAA